GAGTATTTCCTCCTGCGGGAGGCTCTGCATGTGTCCTACGAAGGTGGGTGCTGGAGAGAGGACGGCTTGGAACCGAAACTGTTTGTGGGCGATGTCACGAATCCCACGGGTGGCAAGCGGAGTGGACGCATCGAATGTGGCGACCCCAAACCACTCTCGAAACTGATCCCTTCTGCTTCTCACGAAGGTGAATGGACGGAGTTCATTGCTTCTGGTGGCGCAGGTGTTGTGGTGGAGGATGGCACGCTTGTGTTTCCTCTGATGGCGGTGGATGAGACAGAAGACGTTTGCTCCATGATCATTTGCTCGACGGACAGCGGCAGTGCCTGGGCGCTCTCTGAGGAAATTTCCCCTGCGGAACGCCTTAACCCCGCGTCACCGAGTAGGAGGGATCACTTCTCATGATTGTTGACTGCGAGAGTGGCCAGAGGGTGTAGGCGTCGCGTGACATGGGGACAGCGTGGGCGGAGGCCATCGGGACACTCTCAGGCGTATGGGTCAACGCACGATCGGGAGTCCCTCAGAAGGAAAGCCTGCGTGTGGATGCCCTCATCACCGCGACCATTGAGGGAAGGAAGGTCATGCTGTGCACTCAGAGAGGGTATGCCTCGGGGAAGAAAAGGGCCACTGCGCTCTGCCTTTGGGTCACGGACAACAACCGCACGTTTTCTGTTGGACCGGTTGCCGTGGACAATGCTTCAAAGTGGAAGACAGAACTGAAGGACTGCGGTATGTAATTTTATTTGCCTTGTCCCTCTTGTTGCCGCCGTGTGTGTGCTGTGCGCATGGCAATATCTTGTGGTGTGACGTGGATGGCGTTGCTATTGCATGTGCCCTTGTGCGCGTGCTGTGCGTTGGGTTTCTCCTCCCCATGACACCGCCCTTGTGTGCGGGTGAGTGGAGGTGCGAGGAACTAAGCGTGAGTGACCGTTGTTTTCGTACATTTGCGTTTTTCACACACGTGGCACCACTCGGCAGCCTCTTGCAGCACCAGGCCGTGGACTGAGAGGGTGGGAAGTGTGCTCCAACCACAAGGACAACGAGACGCAGTGCATGACGGCCAACCTGACTGGTGTGTGGTTGCAGCGCATGGAACACGTGAGCCAGTACTTGTTGGGCGTTGCGCTGATAATTTTTGAGGAGAGGCGGCACGACATTGTGGCGCTGTGTGTGTTGCGCGGCCGTGGCATTCCGGCGATCGTGAGTGACGTGACGGACACGGAGCTGCTTGACTGGGGGAGGAAGTGGCAAACGTTGCGGCGCGGTGGGAGCGCATGGCGGCTGCGTGTGCTGGGAGGACCCGACGATCCCGAGGCCTGTGCTGGAGGGGCGCATGCTGGAGTGAGCGTGGCGTGCCTGTGAGGGTCTGAGGAGAGGGAATAACAGTAACAGTGACTGTGGGAGTGAGGAACGGTGCACGGACGTGGATTAATTCTTTTTTGTTGTTTTGGATTGTTTTTGAACCGCGTCAACCAAATTGTTGTTGTGGTGCGCGACTCTCGTTTCTGGATGGGACGGTGCGTGTCACTGTGACTCGTCTCTTTTTTGCTTTCACTCTCTGTTGACGTGTTGTTAGTTTGTGCTGAAGGCTACACGCAAGTGACAGGAGTGATGACGATGGCTGGCCGTGTGCTGCTGGTGTGTGCCCTCTGCGTGCTGTGGTGCGTTGCCGGCGGTGTTTATGCGAGGGACGTTGACATCAACGCACTGGGTGGCTGCGTGGCGTCGGGTGTGTTGGGTGAGAATGGATCCCACATGCCTGACGGATGTAATAAAACTACGATTACGATGCCTTTGCGGTCAGTACTGCCCATTACTGCCGTCGAAGCCTCGACTGAAAAAGATAATGCTGTTGCAAAACAGAACGATTCGAATTCAATTGGGACTTCCAACATTGGTGCTTCTCCTGGTGGTGGTTCCGGCGATGGAGACAGTTCTGGCTCTGCTGGTGCTGTTCCAGGGGCTCCTGGTGGTACAGGGGCTTCTGGAGAGGGAGGTTCTGCTGGTGGTGGTGGGAGCGGTGGTGGTTCTACTGGAGATCATGGCACCGGTGGCGTTTCTTCTGGTCCTTCTGTTTCCGCTGCTCCTTCTGCTGTTTCTCCTGCTGCTCCCGCTCCTCCTCCTGTTTCTCCTTCAGGTCCTCCTGCTCCTGCTGTTTATTCTTCAGCTGCTCCTGGTGTTAATTCTTCAACTGGCCGAAGTGGTGGGACAGCGGGCTCCTCAGGCAGTAATTCATCTAACACAACAGGGGAATCTTCAACAGGAGATCAGACGCCTGCAGCAGCGGCTCACATCTCCTCGCCACCCGAAAGACCGGAAGGAACGACATCCGGCACTGGACACAAAGGACAGGAAAAAGAAGAGGAAGAAGAAGAAGAAAAGCGGCAGCAAAGTGATGAAGCACAAGTCCAACAACATCAACAGCATGAACACCCCGCGGAAAGTGGCGAAGAATCCGCGAAAGATAAAAACGCCCTTCGTACAAATGCCACCGCAAATACAGGCGACAGTGACAGCAGCACCGCGGTCTCCCACACCACCTCCCCTCTTTTGCTTCTTCTTGTTCTTCTTGCGTGTGCGGCTGCTGCTGCGGTGGTGGCCGCGTGAGAGTGAGGGAGAGAGAGCCGTGCACCGCCCGCACACACACTCTTCCTTCTCTCTCTGTGTGTGTGTCCCCTTGCATGGACTCTCGCCCTCACCTCACCCCACGAGGCACACACAATAATGTGCCCATTGTATATATGCATGCACACCCATGCAGGCCGTTGGTGCTCTCTTTTGCACGACACGCACCGCTGCCGTCCTGCCTGGCTGCATGGGCGGAGCACCGTAACTGTTTCTATTTTATTGCATTGAGTGGGCGACCTCTCTCTCTCTCCCTCTGTGTGTGTGTTTTGCTTTACGGGAGCAATGAGAGTGTGTGCGCTGGTCGTCCCACGCTTCGGCTTGTTTTATTGTTTTACTCGTCTTGTGTTATGGTTGAGAGCACCTTTTCCATTACTATTTTTTTTTTTTGATTGGCAGTTTGCTTTGACTGCGGACGCCTAAATTCTCTTTTTCATTTTTTTTTGCCTTTGAGATATTGTCAGTGTTTCTTATTCTTTTCAAGCCATGAAGTATTTTTTTAAACGTACAGCATGTTTCAGTTGATCCACGTCGCTTCACGGTCTGCAGTTCTGCTGGTGCTTCTGGTTGTGATGTGATTGCCAGCGGGTGCTTTGCTGTCACTTTGACGTAATCCTGCTCCTGTGACAAGGCGATGCGTGCCGACAGCACGAATTGGATCCGCGTTGTTGTGAGGGACGTGCCCTTTTGAGCAGTTGGTGCGCTGCAGCCATACACCGTCATTGGGAGGGATGGACGCCCATCCGCATCAACGTATCCACAAGGGACCTGGACGCTACCGGGAAGTATTGGATCTCAGAGCGGTACTACGCAATGAATTCATCGAATGGCAATTGCGAGTGTGAAGGTGACGTTTTTCTTTGCTGAGAAAAGGGAAGTATTTGTTTCGTTATGCTTTGCTGCCACTGTTCGTTAATGGCCCGCGGGCTGTCCGTAGCGATGTGGCCAGTTTTTCCGTCTTGAACGATGCTGTCGTGCGAAAGGGTGTGCTCCCAAATAGTCGAACGCTTAGTTGTCGAGGACGAGGCATTCCCACAGCGTGTGCGGCAGGCCTTCCCGTGAATTTTCGCGGCTCAGCGGCTGGTGGGGTTGCAGCAGAGGAGTGGCTGAAGGGCTACGGCTGTCATCGGAGCATGCAGAGGTGCGTTGTCCGTTTTTTGCTCGTTGATACGCTTGACATTTTCGGTAATGAACTGCGCGTGAGGCACTTGTTGGGGAGACCGTGGAGCTGTCGCAGAATCCACATGTGAGGCCTTCCGCAACGATTGGAGTGCCAGGGATAGTGCGTCGGGCGTGTGCCTTCATACTGTGGACGGACGAGAAGACGCTGCTGCAGCTTGGGCAGGGCGACGTTGATCTGCTGCTCGTCGTTCTACGAGGAGGTGCCGTGGACACGCCAGGTGGAGGTTCCGGAGGAGGTCGGGGCGGTCCTGCCTCTTCAGTGTGAGGAGAGGAGCGGCACCACCAACACAGAGGGTTGCTTGTGATCCGTAGGGCGCGTGCCGGTCAGCCGAGGAGTGGGCAGGAGGACGTCAATCAGCCGCTTGCTGCTCGGCAAGGAGTGGCGGTATTCACGTCGGGAAGAGGTTACGGCGGAGGCAGCGCACAGACGCGGTCCCAAGAGTACCGCAGCACAGCCGATCCCAGAGGGCAGGGACATAGTGCCTCCATGCCTCGGAGAATCACAGGCCTGGGCTCCACAAGAAAACAAGCTGTTTCGCACGGACCGCTAGCGGCACGATGAAAACACGGCGAAGGGCATGATTGCGGTCCTCCCATTTGCGGAGCAATTCAGCTCGGGGCAGGCTGCCGTTGCAACACACTCGGCCTGCTCCATTCCGTCCGTCGTGATTCCTGTGGGACTGTCACGGCTGCCACTCGTGCGGTGCCTCAGTGCATTTCCAACCATGTGATCACAGAGGCCAGAGGTGTTTCACACGCCGAGGTGGAAGCATTCCAGTCGGCATCACGCAGGACAAAGGCGACATGTTTCCGTCGTGGCAGCATGCCTGCCAGTCGTGGGATGCCGTCCTCCGTCCCTGCAGTGTGGGATGGCAGATGGTGGTCCGAGTCCATGTAAACGGATGGAAGTACAGTGAGAAACGCAGTACGCGTTGCGCAGTAGATTAGGGAAACGAGATGCGGCCGCTGAGCTGCGTTGCCTGTGCCGGGACGTCAGAAAGCTCAATCTTCATGCCGCTTGGGGTGGTGGCGAGGCCCTCTCCTGCCGTCGTGGATGGTGAGCGACCGTCCCGCAGCTCATGGTGTGAATTCAGGTCAACCGCAATAGGCGCTGCAGGACCAAGACGACGAATGGTGCTCGCAAAGTGAGCAGCATGAGCAATTACTGTAGGAAGGGTTGCAGAGATTCACCACGCACATGCTGGGGCTGGCCGGTGGGCACACGCGGAAGGCGGTGGTCTCCAGGCAGTTGGTTCCACGAGCAACAGGCGCTCGCACGGAAAGGTGTGGCGCACCACGAGGGTCACGCCGCCGGCACGCCCACTGCAATGCCCTGCTGCAATCACTTGCACAGAGAGACAATAAAGAGTGTGTGGATGTGTGCCTAGAACACAGCGACCGTCACCTCCAGAGAAGTCCATCGTGGCACCGTCCGTCACGCGTCAGCACACACCGAGCAACGCCTGCAACCAGCAAAGTAAAACCAAAGAGGGGAAAGAAGAATGACCCCAAGAGCAGGCAACACCTCCACACATGGCGGACATCGTGCAGCCGCGTCATCATTTCAGCACGGGATGCAGGCCAACGTTCCACCGTCGCCAAGACATTCCTGCAGAGCGCCGTGCGACTAAGTATGTGTGTGTGTGCCAGAGGGTCAGAAAAAAAGAGGAGCACAGGGAGACGCATCAACATGGCAGGAGGCACAGCTGGATGGCAGCGATACATGCGGTACGGAACCAACCTCAACAATCGCTCACGGTGGCAACACACACACATCCGCAAAAACAAAAAAAACAAAAGAAAAGAAAAACACGGCGGCAGGGTGTGGCTTTGTGTGTGGAGCTGCGGGTGTCTGCCCGCCCTGGCCGCAAAGAAAACAAAACAAAAGGAAAGAAATGTGTGCTCCGCCCCACAGGCCCTCGTCGCACGCCCACACGTCACGGCTCCCTCAGCGCGCCGTTCGTCGCGGCCCCTCCTCATGCGTGCAGCAGGCGAGGCGCACAGGGCCGTCGTCATGAGCGTGTCGGTGGGTGTGCGAGTGGAGCAGTTGGGCGGGAAACACACGGCACCCCTCGCAGGAAGAGTGCAGCAACAAACAATTAAAGAGGGAAGAGTAGAAAAGAAAAACACGTCCATCGTGATTGCCCCAAAAAGCAAAAAGAAGAGATGGGGCAGTGAGATAAAAGAACAATAAAAAGTAAAAACAAACACAAAAAGCGAAGAAAAAAATCACACAACCAGAAAAAACAAAAAAAAACATTTAAAATATTTTAAAGCAAACAGCAAAGAAAAATTAAAAACACTTAAAACAATCATAAGAGGACAAAAAGCCGAAACAGTTACGGTGCTCCGCCCATGCAGCCAGGCAGGACGCCAGCGGTGCGTGTCGTGCAAAAGAGAGCACCAACGGGCCTGCATGGGTGTGCATGCATATATACAATGGGCACATTATTGTGTGTGCCTCGTGGGGTGAGGTGAGGGCGAGAGTCCATGCAAGGGGACACACACACAGAGAGAGAAGGACGAGTGTGTGTGCGGGCGGTGCACGGCTCTCTCTCCCTCACTCTCGCGCGGCCACCACCGCAGCAGCAGCCGCACACGCAACCAGAAGAAGAAGCAAAAGAGGGGAGGTGGTGTGGGAGACCGCGGTGCTGCCGTCACTGTCGCCAGTCGTCGCCGTTGTAGTTTTCATGGCTGTGGCTTCGACTGGTGTTCCTTTCGGATTGGCATCTTTATTTTCATCCGGTTTTTCTTCTCGTGTCCCTGCACCATCAGCTGCTGGATCATCGTCTCCAGTTGTTTGGGTGCTGTTGGGATTTGTTATATTCGATGCTCTTGCCGCACCAGATGATAAATTTGGCTGCTCTTCACCGCCTGCTGAGGTCACCTCTGTGGCGTCGGCATCATCTTCTTCTTTCTTTGTCTCCTCTTCTTTCTTATCATCCTCTTCCTCTTGCTTCTCTTCTTCCTCTTCTTCCTCTTCTTCCTCTTCCCTTTCTTCTTCTTTCTTTTCACCTTCTGTTTTTTGACGCTTGCTGCCCTTCTTTGTACTTGCCGTTTCTGGTGCTCCTCCTCCTTCGGATTGTGATGCCGGTGACGGGCTCGCTTTCGGTGCCGCTCCCTGTGATCCTGACGCCGGCGGTGCGGGTGTTTGTTGTGACTCTGCCTGTTTACCGTTTTGGCCATCTCCTCCAGCGCCACTTCTGGAATCGTTGCCGTTTTTAGAATCATTGTCATTAACGGGCGTAATGTCTTGAGAAACTTGAGGTTTTTCAGAACATCCACCACCGCCGGCACCGCACCACAGCACGCAGAGGGCACACACCAGCAGCACACGGCCAGTCATCATCATCATCACGGCTGCACACACAGTCTAGGGAGGGACAAAGAGAGGAAGAGGAGAAGAACACACACATCAGCAGCATGGAAAAGGAGGAGTAGCGTTTGCATGAGGGCTGCTGTCATGAGCATGGGGGACGCGTGCACGCAGGAAGAACAGGCAACAATGAAACACCGGACAGCACGGCACACAACTCCACGGCATGTAAAACCCACCCACAGCTGCCCCCAAAATGGAAGGGAAAGAGGGCGCAACAGTGCGGCAAGAACACAGTGATGCCGGTGCAGAAAAGGATCCCAAAAAGGCGTGAAAAAGAAACAAAAAACAGTCTTCCCCCACAGCGGCCACATCCAACAACGCAAGCAATAATAACAGAAACAAACACCACACACGGCAACTCACAGCGGCAGTGAGTGCCCTGTCGCCAATCTTCATGGCTGCACGCTACCGCACTCCTCGTGAGTCCATCGCTCCGCTGCCTTCCTCCTTCCCGCGGCTCCCCCCCACGGCTCCCCCCCACGAGCAGCCACGGCACACAATCGGGTCCATCCGCATCCGTCGCCACGCCACCCTCAACGACCCAACAGGCAACCGCTCAACGACTGTTGCGGAAATCACACACCCGCAACAAAGCACGCGACGCAACATCGTCTCATGTGGACCCCGCCGTCAGAAGAACGTCATGCCGACCGTTTGGTCGGCACACGGTACAATCAATCAACAGAACAGAGAAGTAAGACAGGCACTCAATCAAGGACGCTCCACGCACACAGCCCTTTTGATGCCGCCGCTGCTGCCACGGGCACGGTACCCGAGCGGAAAATGACACGCAGTAAAAAAGGCCTCGCAAGAGAGAAACAATCCACACGTCCATATGCAAAGCGCCGCTCAGGCTGCTGCGGCTGCAGGGTCTGTGGGCAAAAATGCGCCTTACTGAATCCCGCCAGTTATGTCAGTCTCCCCTCGCACCAATGTAGCGCATAATGCACGGTGTGCGTCCACAGGCATCCACTCCCGGTGCCCTAGCAACACTTCAGAACACACATAATGGAGAAGGGAAGTATCATTACACAATGCCAAAGCAGGTAAATAAAAATAGGGAAATCAAAACCACACAGATCCCTCGCACACGCACACAAACACCCCACAGTATCCTCCAGAAAAAGTCAAACAATTTCTTATCCCAACCCATAATACACGCGTAGTGCCGACACATCAGCAACCAACACAAAAGAGGGAGAGTGCATACAGCATGTCTCTGGTACAAAGTATACGGACAAGCAGAGCGTATGTATATACTGACAGGAACATGCCAGTTGATATAGGCCTCTCTCTCTTGCACCCACTGCTGAGTGTTGGCACCGCGGCGGCAGCAGCAAGCAGAAGAAGCAGCGGAAAGGGACAAGCAGCAGCCGCAGTGTTACTGCCGTGGATCGGGGGCGGGGCGTCCTTCATGTCTGCCTCCCAACCCCCGCGCACCACCGCCGCATCATCCTCCCTCGGCGGAGGGTCCACGGCGCCCTGCGCGTCATCAGCGGCATCAGGGCCCTTGTGTCCCGTGGCTGTGGCACCGCCACCGGCCTTGTCGCTGACGGCCTCATCTCCTAATGATTGTTCCACAACAGACGTCACGCCATCGGCGGCCACATCGTCGCTGTCCGGAAGATCGCGCTTCTTCTCCGCCTCCTGCGGCGCACCCGCGGTGTCGCTGGGCAAGAGCACTCCGTTGCCGTCGTGGCACCGGAGGCGACTTCCCTCTCCTCTGTCAACGGATGCTTCTGGGGAGCAGCCGTGTCCACATCCTTCGGTGGTGTGCCACGGCCGGTCCCAATGCTCTCTGGATCGGGGACGGATGCCCGTAGCAAAGCTTGTTCAGTAGATGCCAGTGAAACCGTCCTGCTCCACACGCCCTCTCACATCGCCGTCCCACGAAACTATTGGAAGCAGCCTGACGCTGGTGACGGATATCGTGCACACCTGCGCGTGGTCACGGAAAATAGCTTTTCCCTCATCGTAGGGCGGAGCAACCCACGTAATCGTCGACTCGGCCGTGCATGGGGCACAACGGGCGTTACCCTCTTCAGTCACTCTCAGACGCACCCGCATGCCGAGACACCGCAATGCCGCATGCATGACAGCACCGAGATGTATGTTTCTTCCGGGTCCCTCGCATCCGTCGTGTTGGTGGGAAGCGTGTCCAGACACCACGAAGAGGGCTTGTCCCCAGGCACCGCAGACAAACATTCTCCCCTCCAAATAACAGCGGCAGCATTTCTCACATCCAGTGCGGGACCAATGACGGGGCAGCTGTCCATCGGGCGTTTTGCTGACCTTTCATGGATACTCCGTCTACACACCAACCACTGGAATACCGATCCAACGTGCAGCGTCTGGCAGGAACGCCCGCTTCGCAGAAAATGTGGGGATATTCACTCATGCTCGGTGCGGAGCACTTCCTCTGCAGCAGCGCACAGCAAGAATTCCTTCACCAGCGCATCGGCTCCGCCATCTCCCACTTCACCCTCATGCAGCCCAGGTCAGCCGGTGCGGCCAGCGTCAGCTCCGTGCAGCAGCCGGCACAAACAATCGGTGCCATCCACTCATCCTTCGCGTGGCGCTGCGGCCAGTGCCCACACACCACCCGATGCTGCAGCCACGCATTGCGCTCCATGCCACCAATGTCGTCGCAGTCGCAGGGCATCCTCGCAGCCATCGCGGCAGTCGTCGAGCACACCACCACCGACAGCGCTCTGCCACGCACACCATGTCAGCATTGGCAACACCAGTGGAACAATGCCCAGCACGCACCGTAAACCGACTGCAAACGCTGCCCGTGGCAAATGGGGGCACAATCAAAGGACCCTCCAGTGGCTGCACGGGCAGACGATCCGCATGCAGTTTAACAGCAGCAGGGATAACTTCATTGTCAGGAATGATCCCGTGCGCAGAGGATACAACGTCACCTTCACACTCGCAATTGCCATTCAATGAATTCATTGCGTAGTACCTCTCTGAGATCCAATGCTTCCCGGTATCATCCAGGTCCCTTGTGGATACGTTGATGCGGATGGGCATCCATCCCTCCCAATGACGGTGTACGTCTGCAGCGCACCAACTGCTCAAAAAGGGCACGTCCCTCACAACAACGCGGATCCAATTCGTGCTGTCGGCACGCATCACATATTCAACAAATCGAGGGTACGTCAAAGTGACAGCAAAGCACCCGCTGGCAATCACACCATAAGCACCATCACATGCAGCAGCAGCGTCTCAAACTAATGTGGGGTGTAGAGCAAGTAAGCCATTGATGTGGGTGTTAGGCAAATATTTCTTGGCTTGCTGAAGCAACAAGGACCGATTGCGTGGGAGAAACAAAGAACAGGAGAATACAAAAGAGAAAATTCAGCCATCCGCACTTTAAGAAGAAAACCAATCAATGAAAGTAAAATGGGTGCACTCAACCACAAAATCAAAAAGAAAAACAAAACAAAACGAAGCGTGGGACGACCAGCGCACACACACTCTCATTGCTCCCGTAAAGCAAAACACACACACAGGGAGAGAGAGAGAGGTCGCCCACTCAATGCAATAAAAACAAAACAGAAACAGTTACGGTGCTCCGCCCACGCAGCCAGGCAGGACGGCAGCGGTGCGTGTCGTGCAAAAGAGAGCACCAACGGGCCTGCATGGGTGTGCATGCATATATACAATGGGCACATTATGTGTGTGCCTCGTGGGGTGAGGTGAGGGCGAGAGTCCATGCAAGGGGACACACACACAGAGAGAGAGAGAAGGACGAGTGTGTGTGCGGGCGGTGCACGGCTCTCTCCCTCACTCTCACGCGGCCACCACCGCAGCAGCAGCCGCACACGCAACAACAAGAAGAAGCAAAAGAGGGGAGGTGGTGTGGGAGACCGCGGTGCTGCCGTCACTGTCGCCAGTCGTCGCCGTCGTAGTTTTCGTGGCTGTGGCTTCGATTGGTGCTTCTTTCGGATTGGCATCTTTATTTTCATTTTGTTTTCCCTCTGCTGTCCCTGCACCATCAGCTGCTGGATCATCGTCTCCAGTTGTTGGTGTGCTGTTGGGATTTGTTATGTTCGATGCTCCCTCCGCACCAGAAGATAAACTCGGCTGCTCTTCAGTGCCTGCTGATATCTCCCCTGTGGTGCTGGTAACAGCTTCTTCTTTCCTTGTCCCCTCCACTTCTTTCGTATCATCCTCTTCCTCTTGCTTCTCTTCTTCCTCTTCCTCTTCCCCTTCCCCTTCTTCTTCTTTCTTTTCACCTTCTGTTTTTTGACCGTTGCTGCCCTTCGTTGTACTTGCCGTTTCTGATACTTCACTTCCGGATTTTGGTGCCGGTGACGGTCTCGCTGACGCTTTCTGTGGTTCTGGCGCCTTTGCTGCGGGTGCTTCTTGAAGCTCTGCCGGTTTACTATTTTGGCCACCTCCTTCAGCGACACCTGTGGTCGCATTGTCGTTTTTAGTGCTCTTGTCGGGCGGAGGAGCTGGAGTTGCTTCAGCTTGTCCACCACCGCAGACACCGCACCACAGCACGCAGAGGGCACACACCAGCAGCACACGGCCAGTCATCATCATCACTCCTGTCACTTGCGTGTAGCTTTAAGCACAAAATAACGTCCCGTCAACGCAGAGTGAAAGCAAAAGGGGAGAGACACTTCACAAAGCCACGCACAGTGAGAAATGATAGCAGCTTGCACACACCATGAGGCAGTTGGAATCAGTAAAGAGGGGGGAAACACACACCGCACCGCAAGGCAGAAATTTAAAAAAAGGAAAAGCTGGGTTAAGAGTCCGGCAAGACTCCCGGAAAGAATGAATAAAATTGATTAGTTCGTAATTTTATTTCATGTGCCATGCAGCACAATATAGACGACCGTGTGTTTGTGTATACATCTTCCCCGCAAAAATAGCAGAAAATAATGAGAAAAAAAGGGAACTTGCTGCTCCACCAGCCCACACAACATCTCTCACACTTCATTGCGGCATCCGGCCTGTCCCTTCAGTCCTCGTACGTGCAGTCCGTGAGACACACAGCAATGAGGCCGGCACCGCGTGTGGGCAAAAAAGAAAACAAAATGGAAAATACGTCACTCATAATGATGTGTAGAGCAGTTAAACAGCCATTGGGAAAGCACAAAGATAATTATTATTCCAATAAATGACAAGCAGCAATAAGGAAAGAAAACAAGCAAAAAAAACTTAAAATGAGGTCCTTGACAAAATTCGGTAAGCCCCAGCGATGGGGTCCATGCCCCTTTCGCGGTGCTGGGGCTCGGGCTGCATATAAGAACTCCGCAGCAGGGCGTTGCGGCGAGCACGACGGAGACCAAGACGACTCCACCCCTCGAGAAGGTTCCACGCCATGCCCGGTGCGGGGAGGTGAAGCGGTCTGCCCGCAGGCTGTCGGTCAATACTGCACGACCGTTTCGCAGCGGTCACTCCGTTGATGTCACCTGTGGCGGTGACGTCCAAAAGAACCCTGGCACCGAGGAGGATGGCTGCATCAATATTTGGCGGCTTAACATTGCAGGCCTCTCGTCCGTAAAAAGATTGAACTTGCGGCGCGATTGGAGCTGCATCAAACTGACATCGTTCTTTTCCAGGAAATAAATGACCGTAGAGACGTAGCGACGAAATTATCTGGCCATAATGGCATTTTTCAGGCATGCACTGGGCGCAGTGGTGGCGTTGCCATCCTGGTGCGCCACTCTCTGCCGTGCGAGCGCCTGTCGCTCCCTGGCACAGACCTCCTGCAGACCATTGCTGTCCGTGTATTTCCACCGGGCTGTCCCAGCATTTGCGTGGCGAATCTCCACAACCCTCCCACAACAATTGGTCAATAATCCGCATTTATCAATATCTTTCGTCGCTTGGGCCCCGCTGCGATTATCGTGTGTGGCCTGAATTTGCATCATGGACTCTGGGATAGTCATAAATACCACCAACGACTGGAGGCGAGGATTTCGCCGCTGTTTTAATTGATATGGATTTTGAGCCGGCAAATGACACGGCGCAGACAACACGGATCACACATCGTAATGTCTCGTCCCCTGGCGTGACTGCGTATCGCGCCCTACGCATCTCCCACCGGGCAATCCACTACCGACATGGATTAGGACCACTCCTTAATATATTACTTGGTAGAGATGGAAGATGGCATTCCGCGACTGGCCAACACGCCACCTCAACGGAAGAAAGCCACTTTTGCCCTGCGCAAAGCGGATTGGCCTGCTTTTACATCGTTGTGTGAAACTCTCCTTTTTTACCCTGTCCACATGGTTGGACATTCGCAGAGGCATCTTGCGAGCAGCTAAGCGCCATATCCCGCGCGGCAGCCGTGAACGCCCCAAAACGAATATGGACACACGAAATGTTGCAAGCCAAGGCCGCCGCAGAAGCAGCATACAAGGCACACACATTGCCTCACCTGGAGACAGCCTGCTTCGAGCCGAATTAATCCAAAAAAGGGAGGAACGAAATCAAGCCTTACGCCGTTGCTTCGCTATGCTTCTGGAAGCCCGTGTGGAAAAACTTGGAGCCTCACCCAGCCCGAGCTGGCGAGATCTTCGCGGTGTGGCGGCGCCGCACCCTCATCCCCTGGAAGCGGTTGTGCTCCGAACTGATCTTCGGACCGCGTTTGCGCTCTGCCTCGGAAACAGGCAAATCTGCTCCTCTGTCATTTTGTGCGGTTTCACGTGCCATACCGCCTTGTACTGCTGCTGCTGCTGCACGCCGCACTCCATTGCCCGCTAGTGGCTGGGAAATGGATCGGCCTCTCACGCCGCATAAAATTGACGTGACCATCCGTGACTCTTTGCTCGGCTCAGCCCCTGGCCCCGAAAACATGTTAAATGAGTTCCTGCACCGTCTCGGGCCCGTCGCGCATGGCACACTTGGAACGATGATCCACAACTCCTTTGCAAACGGCAGCCTGCCTGGCTCCTGGAATACGGTGGACAATATTCGCATTCCCCAACCCGGGAAGGATCCATGCCGCCCAGAGAGTTACAGACCTATCAAATCACTCTCTGCTTTACTAAAGTTAACCGAAGGAATGATTCACCGCCGTCTGTCAGCGTTATTGCCGCATCACCCACGTCAATTCGGGTTCACACATTCGCGTTCTACATCGGACGTGGCGACACTTGCCATCGATAAAATTACCCGTGGATTGAATGAGTTCAGCACTGTGGAGTATGAGCGCCCTGGAGGCAACGTCCCCGCAAGGCACTTTCGTCGCCATCGCTCGTTCGTAGTCTTGATTGACATTTCGACTGTGTTCGACACCACTGACCATGGGAAATTATTCGGCATGCTTGACAGACTTCCGCGCCTTGGCCTCGAACCAAACGCTGGCTGCACAACTACCTGCGGGGCCGCTATGTTGGGGTATGCACTCGCGAACAGCACTCCCGGAAACAACTCGCCTCAGCTGGAGCACCGCAAGGCGGCGTCCCGGGACCCCAACTCTTCCTTTACTGTGTGGATGACCTGCTGCGCCGCATGGACAGCATCTATTCTGCCTCCGCATTCATTTACGCTGACGAACACACACTTGTTGCCTCAGGTGCGGACATCCATGCCTGTGCTGCGGCAATGCAACCGGTCCTGTCACCTATAACGACATGAGCTGCCGAGCAAAACCTCAAAATCAACGTCGCTAAGAGCGAAGCTGCTCTATTCCACATCTCTTCACACACACGGTCTGACGAGGACATGGTCGATCTCCATCTTGTTAACGGGAACCTACGCATTCAGTCATGCCCAGTGCGCTTGCTGGACACCACGTTCGATCGCCTTCTTAATTTTCGTACGCACGCTTCCACCGCTGCAAAGCAGACCATGCCACGCCGCCATCAGCTGCGGCTGGTCGCACGGGCTGGTGCGTCCCATCACACTATGCAATCCTTTTTGATTGGATACGTCCATGGTGTGTCACTGTATCATGGCGAGACAATTGTCCCATGCCTTGCCCAAACCTACCTCCATAATATGAAAGTACTGTACCGCAACAGTTGTACAACATCCCTTGGCATTAGTGCACCAACGGAAGATACATCCGTCTACTTGCAAGCCAATCATTTCCCGCTCCGGAAGATACTCTGGCTTCTTGCACTCACACAACACGAACGCCACGCACTTCTTCGATGTATTGAGGACGTGCGTTCCCTGTCCACACGGAACCTGTGACTCCGTCCATACATAGGAAAGCGGCGACATCAATACCGCTCCAGGGAGATGCAGTTATTAATGGATTAGAACGCGTATGTGACACTATTGGGATACCAAATAACCACAATCGTGCTCCTCCTATTCAACATCGAATTTTCCCCTGGGACACTGTGAGCTGCAATAAAGTGGAATTTAATCAGCCACGCTTTGCCCAAGACGCCTCTGGCGACGTCAAGCGCACGGCTCTTGACTCTATTTGCTCCTCTCTGGGAGATTTTGAATTATAGACAGACGTTTCTTCATCTCTCGCCGAACTCGAATCTGGATCCGCTGCACTATTGTACGGCTCCACCACGACAACGATCTCCCTGTGGAGGTCCATCGTGCAGCAGCTGGCAGGCTCGCATGCTCATATAGAGCAGAGTGCCTTGCCACTGAAGATGGCATTAGACATCTCATACCTTTTTGTCTGAAACATCCCAATCGCCCACACGAATCCTGGTGGCAACGGACTCCCCGTCGGCAATCACACCACACACATCATCACAACCACAAGCACCAGCAGCAGTGCAGACCGTGGGCTAACGTGACCAATTGGCGCATGCTGTACGTAAAAGAAAGCAATTAATGGCTTGATAAGGATAAGAAACACTGACAATATCTCAAAGGGAAAAAAAAAAGAAAATAAAATAAAAAATCATGCGTCCACATTCTAAGCAAACCACCAATCAAAAAAAAAGAAGAAAAACATAATGGGTGCACTCAACCACGAAATCAAAAAGGAAAAACAAAACAAAAAGCCGAAGCGTGGGACGACCAGCGCACACACACTCTCATTACTCCCGTAAAGCAAAACACACACACACAGAGAGAGAGAGAGAGGTCGCCCACTCAATGCAATAAAAACAAAACAGAAACAGTTACGGTGCTCCGCCCATGCAGCCAGGCAGGACGGCAGCGGTGCGTGTCGTGCAAAAGAGAGCACCAACGGGCCTGCATGGGTGTGCATGCATATATACAATGGGCACATTATTGTGTGTGCTGCGTGGGGTGAGGTGAGGGCGAGAGTCCATGCAAGGGGACACACACAGAGAGAGTGAAAGACGAGTGTGTGTGCGGGAGGTGCACGGCTCTCTCTCGCTCACTCTCACGCAGCCACCACCGCAGCCGCAGCCGCACACGCAACAACAAGAAGAAGCAAAAAAGGGGAGGTGGTATGGGAGACCGCGGTGCTGCTGTCACTGTTGATGGGTGTCGCTGTGATTATTTTATTGGTGGCGTTGTCCAGTGCTTTTGTGGACTCTTTGCTGTCGGGTGCTGCATTGTTTGTGCCATCCGTCTTTGTGTCAACTTCTGTATTCACAGCGTTTTTTGCCACGCCCTCAGTGGAATTGTTGCCCATACCTTTGGAGATTTGAGTGTGGCTGTTGCTGTCGTGCGATGCCGCGTTATTTCGGGTTTCGTAGGTGGTAGCTTCAACTTGTGCTGGTGGTATGGGACGGTCAGTCGTGCCTCGAAGTCTGGCAGAAAAATTGACACTGGGAGGAGATATTGGAATTGTATGCACCTGACGTATAGTTGGTTTGTCGTCGCTGGGTTTTGTGGCAGATGGGTTGCCTTCGGTTGGTGCGTTTTCATCCAAGTAGACTTTTTCTTTTGCCACTTCCGGTTGTGTATTTTTGTTGTTGTCCGCCGCAGTGAGTGCAGTCCCCTGGCCGCTGGCCGAAGGATTTCCTCCTGGAGGAGAAGATGACTGGAGCGTCTCCTGTTTACCGCCGTCTAATAATTCCTGCGCTTTACCGGCCTTACTTGAATTATCATCCTCCTCTTCCTCTTCCTCCTCTTCCTCTTCCTCCTCTTACTCTTCCTCCTCCTCTTCCTCTACTTCTTCCTCCACTTGTTGATCGCTTGGTAATCTCATAGATGAACTGCTTGCAGGGATAACCTTCTTTGCTTCTTTTGCCGGTGACGCCTTCGTTTGGGGAACGGAGTTCGCCTTCAATCCCTCCAATGACGCACCTTCTGGTTGTACACCACCGTCACCTGATGCAGTCCGCAAGTCCTCTACTTGTAATTGCGCCTGTTCAGACTCCACACCATTACCTCCCGACGAACCTTCCCCTTCATTGGAGGCGTTAACGTTGACGCGTTCCTCAGTGTTCTCAGCAGCAACAACAACGGCAAACTGTTGCCGCCTCCAACGACGACGGCCATCCACAACGGCACGCAAACTCTCCATCCCCTGATGGACGCATTCCTCAACGGCGGACACATTCGCACCGCCTCCTGTCCTCCTGCCAACCTCCTCCACGCATTCCCTCCGCAGCCAAGCACGCCGTCCCGCGAAGGAATACTCATCCACACTACCATCGCCACCGCAGGCACCGCACCACAGCACGCAGAGGGCAAACACCAGCAGCACACGGCCAGTCATCGCCACCACTCCTGTCACTTGCGTGCAGCCTTCAGCACAAACTAACAACACGTCAACGCAGAGTGAAAGCAAAAGGGAAAACTGTTTAAAAACCAAGCACAGACACCGTAGAGCAACAAATGGCAGCACCCAGAATCAGCAGCGCACACCATGAGGCAGATGTAACTCGTACGATTGCAGAACTCGAACACCGCCCTGCACACCATGGGTTTTAAAAAAGATAGAACAGCAAGAATAAAAACACCCAAGGCACCAGTACGCATACATAGGAGCGTGTCTGTGATGCGTTCAATGAGGCGAATGCGAGAACAACCCGGAGCACACAGCACGGCAGCAAAAGCAAATAAAGCAAAAAATTATCATCATAATTACTCTTACCTTATACATCGGACCACAGTGGAGATGCACATTTCCCGTGACTGAGTGCTGGCACGCACAGACCGCATACACCTATTAGTTCACAGTGGTATACACCAGCGCGGATACGGCGAGCAGCAGCGGGGCACATACCCACGCAGAGCTGCTGAGGCTGCCGTCGATTTCGCGAAGACGTGACGGTGCGCGGGTCGTCGTCGTGGTTGGCGCCTCTGTAGTCGTAGTCGTAGTAAGAGGTGCCTCTGGCACAGTGGTGTTTGTCGTATTTGGCATTTTCATCTTTCGACTTGATATCTGTGCCTTATGATTCTCATCGCCTTGTGTATTTACTGCTCCCTTTTTATTTTGTGCATCTGAAATACCGGCCGCACCTTGTGTGTGTGTGGAGACTGAGTTGCCAAACCTGGTGGCTCTGGATTACCGCTAGCCGAACTCAGTGACCCTGGAGGAACTCGTGTCTGTCCAGTGATGGCTGTGCCTGCTTCCCTTGGCAACGAAGGTCCTGGACTTCTCAAACCCTCCTCGCTGTCTCTCCCACTCTCTGTCTGTGGCACACCGGTCTCCCCACCATATGGCTGTAATGCGCCAGGCATGTTTTTGTAGGATCCGGTTTCCCTAGCTCAGGGCTGGGAGGACGGCTGTTATCATTATTACCGTCTCCTGCAGCCGTCACGCACACGGACGAGCAGCAGCAGCACAAGAGCGCAGGGACCAACACGGCGCCGCACCGTCACCATCGCAGTCATCATCGCCCGTAGTGGAGTCGCTGGAGTCAGTCAGCTGATCGGTGAGACGGAAGGAAAGGAATGGAACGAGAGGGAGAGGGACGGAGCACAGCGGATACAGCGAGAGAGCGCAGACAACATGAGGAGAGGGCAGCAGGCCCAGCCGCACAGTTCACACACCACGAGACGGCATCCACGCAAGGAAGGCACACAACGCCAGCAGCCACCCATCATGCAGGAGGAGAAGACATCCACCACCATCTCCCCCAGCTCATTCCCGCAGCCCCAGGGAAATGTCAAAACCCGCGGCCACCACACAACGCACACGGAGCAAGCGAGCCCTCATCCATCCATCACGCGGCACAAAATTTCCAGCCATCCCGCCATCAATGGGACACGGAGCCCAACTCAGCGCAGTCACACGCGGTGCATCACACCCGCAGGAAAATAGTCTCGGGGTGCGCTCCCTCTCTCCCCTCCTCATGGCCACGGAAGAAGACAACAGCCGCCACACGCAACCGCCAGCATGCACTACAAAAGGTGCATTCAAATCCACTGCAATGTGCATCTTGTGCGCGTGTGGTTGTGTGTGCCTGCAGAAACACAAAGCAAAGAAGTGGAAAAGAGGGAGCAGAGTATGTGGAGACGCAGAAAAATGTGCAGCGGAGACGCATAACGGAAACAACAAGAAGAAGACCGCTCAAACTCATCACTGCACTGCAGCCCAAGCAGCGGCAATCCACACAATATTTATTGAAAACAAAAAACGTCCCCCCCCGTCTTATGTAAACCCCACCACACAAAATAGTTATAAATAAAAAAGAAATCGTCCATTACTGTTCCACACAAATTAAAATCGCCTGGCTGCCGTGTGGCCACACCAAACTGTCTGTATGTATTTTGCCCACAAAAGAAAATTAAAAAGATGGTTACGTGTGCTTCAACCGTCTGACCCTCCACGTGTCCGCACATCGTTTATATTTCATGGGGTCATCTGCGTGTTGCTGCTCCCCTCAGCCCTCTCATCGGTGCGTGAGTGCGGCCCGCAGAGCACAGTCACTCGTGTGTGTGGGGACTGAGAGAAGCACGCAGACATGACGGCAGTCGCGTCACTCCATCGGGAGAGTGAGCGCAGCAAAAGAAAAGAAAACATCGGAGGGGAGAGAAATGCTCACGAGGCCGACACCGGAGGGTGCGCCACCGCATGAAATAAACACGCAAAGCAAAACAAATCCTTAAAGAAAAACACGGCGGCAGGGTGTGGCTGTGTGTGTGGCGCTGCGGGTGTCTGCCCGCCCTGGCCGCGACGAAAACAAAACAAGAGGGAAGAAATGTGTGCTCCGCCCCACAGGCCCTCGTCGCACGCCCACACGTCACGGCTCCCTCAGCGCGCCGTTCGTCGCGGCCCCTCCTCATGCGTGCAGCAGGCGAGGCGCACAGGGCCGTCGTCATGAGCGTGTCGGTGGGTGTGCGAGTGGAGCAGTTGGGCGGAAGCACACGGCACCCCTCACAGGAAGAGTGCAGCAACAAACAATTAAAGAGGGAATAGTAGAAAAGAAAAAACGTCCATAGCGATTGCCCCAAAAGCAAAAAAGAAGAAATAGGGACATAAAGCGCACAGCAAAGCAAACAGGGAAGAAGTAAATAAAAGTTATTAAAGAAGATAAATTAATTACCGTGTGTCGGTGCAGCGGAGGTCGCAAGGTGTCCCACGCGGCAGCCAGTCACTCCTCACAGAGCCGCAAACACCCACAGTCCCAACAGAAGCAGCGATGGCAGCAGTCCGCTCCCACGCATGGTGCCGGCATCGGTGTTATTCACCTGCGACACATTTCCAAGGCTGCTGTTGATTGCCGTAGCATTTACTTCCCCGTTATGTGGATGGATTGCCTCCCGTTTCTGCCCATCCGTCCCTCCCGCCATCTCTCCATCCTCACCAGAGCTCGCGCCCACCTCGGGAGTTTGGGGTGATCCATTTCCCCGCATCGTATCTCCAACTTCTGATCCCACCGTTTGGGCAAAATCAGACGAGGGAGTCGTAGAAACGGAAGCTGCTCTGGATACACCGTCACTGCCACCAATATTCTCCTTCAATGGTTCCTCTTCCAAAGGCTGTGGTTTCGCAGGAGACTGCAACATGGTTTCCGGCGCATTTTCGGTCACCCGAGTCGTAATGGGGTCTTTATTCGGGTTGAGGGCGCCAATCTCTTCGGAATTCCACGGACGGTTGTACAGCAGGACGTTCGTCACAGTCACAGACACGTCTTCTTCGCTCCCTGCGATGTCTCCACTGCGTTCGCCCCCTCCAATGTAGAAGTGGGAGATCTCTTTCAACTCCGCGGTTTTCAATTCACATTCTGCACTCCCCACAAGCTTACCATCGACGTACGCAGAGCCCTGGGTGCCGTTATATAGCACAATGGCCACTTGGTGTGTTTTCCCTGGCTCCCAAGTGCTGCTCTGCTCCTTAGTCACTGTGCCACTGGACAACACTTCCCAGCTCTTTTCCTTGTTGTATGACAGTACCAGGAAAACTATATTCTTATTTTCGTCACGTATCTTCGCACCCATCAAAGGAATGTGGCTGCCGCCCTTCGGCACACCGTCGATGGACACCGTCGCCACAAGAGTGAAGTTGTAATTCGCAAAGTGATACAGCTGATTCTCCCCCTGCTCGCCAACAGGCCACTCCGCCCACGCTCCCCGGAACTTCACACCCTTCTCCGTGCTGGTCACTTCTCCTTTCTTTCCTTCCGCTGCCCCAGCTTTATTATTTACTGTGGCGTTCACCCCGAGGTACTCGTCTCTCCATGTGTCACCAGAGAAGTTGCCGGACAGAAAGCCAACCAGCCCATCCGTGACCTTAACAGTAGGGCTGCAGGCATTGTCAGTTGATTCATCCTTCTCAGCACTTGAGGGGCACAGCTTGGAGACAGTTTCGTCCGCTTTCTTCCACGTCGCCAGCACATCCTTCACACGCTGCAGCTGCGCAGTCAGAAGCACAGAGACCATACCAGGTGATGTTTTTTCACCGTCCTTCTTCTTCTCGTACAGTGCAATCAACTCCTCGTTATTAGTTTCACCTTCTCCACTTTTGTACATCAGGGAGCTGGCGGCAGCGTCATCATCGGATACCGGCCCAATATCAACAATGTGCGTGTTGTCCGTCAGCCAAAGATGGAGTTTTCCCTTTGAATTGCCCGTTTCTTTTTTACCAGCCTCCTTGGCATACACCGGCAGAGTGACGAGCATCACTTTTTTATTGTCACCAACACCGTCAATCCTCGCTGTGATGAACCCGCTTCTAACGCCCTTCGCTCCTTTGTCCTTTTTTTTGCCCCACACGCGCGAGAGTGTCCCGAGGGCCTCCGTCCACGACTCCCCCTTGTCACCGGACTCGTACACCCTGCGGCGGCCATCATCACACGCAGTCATCATGATGAGTTTTTTGTCCTCCTTCTCTCCCCACCCCACGACGGAGGGATCACTGCAGCCACCGTCAGACATCCCCTTCGACAGCTTCCAACCCTCATTAGTATCCTTCAAGTACAGGATCAGTGAAACGGCCTTTTTATCCTCCTCCTTTTTGCCTTCCACTGGGAACACAAGCGTACCGTCCTCCATGTGAACACCCGATCCACCGCCGCCAGTCAGCCGTGCTGTCAAGGCCTCTTGCTGGATGTTATAAGTGCTCTGGAGATCGTCAATCCCATTCCAATAAATTCTTTTGTTACTGCTCTCACCACTGACATTCCCCTTCGCCAGCAAAAGACCCCAATAAACCCCAGCAGAGGCATGATCAGGAACGGCAGCTGTAGGGCTGTATTTCCCAACAAGCATGTAAATTTCATTTTCCTTCACAACTGTTGTCGGCTGGCTCACATGTACTTTCTTCTTTGAGTCTGCGGAAGCACCTTCCAGAGCAGCGTTTTGAGAGGCACATTTCTCTTTATCGGCAGAACATTCCAACAGTACTTGTGTCCTCAGTTTAGTTTTGTCCAACTCCACTTTTGTTTGTTCATCAGACAACGTCAGGAGCTCCGAGGCAATCCCAGTGAAATCTTCTTTATTATCATTCTTTCCTTTGCACTGCGCCTCGGCGACGGCAAATACGTCACTCCCCACTTTTAGAAGGCCGGGAGCACCCAACGACTCCACAGTAACACCACCATCCTTGACGTCCTTCCATTCAAACTTTGGTTCAGGAGACTGCCCAGCAGCTTCAGCAGCACCACCACTGCCGCAGCACATCATCACAAGAACGAGGAGCAGCACCGAAGAGTAGAAGAAATGCCGGGACATGTTGGGCCTCTGCCGCTCACTCTCTCTTCCTTCCCTCCTCCTTCCGCTGGATCCGGTCACGCGGCGACGGTTGTGTGTGCGGGGTGCCTTCACTGCAGCAACACGTGAGAACATATAAATATGTGTGTGTGGGCGGTGTGTGTGCTGTTGGTCCTTTCAGTGCCTTCGAATTTCACAGTAGCGATTAGCGTTTAGCCTTAATTCCTTTCCTTCTTTGTGTGTGAGAAAGAGAGAAAAGAGGAAAAAGAAGTGAAACAGTGAGCACCGCCACCCATCCACAGTGAGTGGCACCATCATCCCCGCCGCAGTCACTCCCAAGAACAACTCACGCACACAGACACACGGAACTGGAGATGGAAGAACAGTGCACCGGAACACACATCGACTGCCACCAGCAGCAGCAGCAGAAGTCACGGCGGGTGTGTCATTCGTCACGCGTCAGCACACACCGAGCAACACAAACACACAAAAAAACCAGCGGAATGCAAAAGAACAACCGTCCTTCGCAAAGCCCACGCGCTCTCGCCAGTCATCTTACTGTTCAACCTTCCAGCGCATCCGCCAGCGCAAATCACCCACACAGGCGAAAAATCCCTGACCAAAGTATACACAGCATATGAGGTACACATCGGCATGTGCAGCAGCTGGACGAGAAGCAATCCGCACTTGTCCCAGGCACCCTAAGCCACACCAACCAATCGACTGCACGCCTGCAACGTGTCAAAAAATAAATCGCAGGATCCCGTCCTCCCCCTCCCAAGGGACTTCACAGCCGGAAACTTCTGCGTGCGTTCTCAGCAATCACGCCGCTCTACAGAGTATGCATAATGGCGTGTGTGTGTTCATGTGTGTTTTTCAATAGATATACTTGCAGAGCAGCTGTGCGGCACAAGAGAGTCGGAACAAAGCAACGGCAGAGAGAGGCAGATAGCACACAAGGAGATTACTCATATCATCACACACACACACACACGCAGCCGCGGAATGGGTGCACTCAACCACAAAACAATAAAAGAAGAAGAAAACAAAAAGCCGAAGCGTGGGACGACCAGCGCACACACACTCTCATTGCTCCCGTAAAGCAAAACACACACACAGAGGGAGAGAGAGAGAGGTCGCCCACTCAATGCAATAAAAACAAAACAGAAACAGTTACGGTGCTCCGCCCATGCAGCCAGGCAGGACGGCAGCGGTGCGTGTCGTGCAAAAGAGAGCACCAACGGCCTGCATGGGTGTGCATGCATATATACAATGGGCACATCATGTGTGTGCTTCGTGGGGTGAGGTGAGGGCGAGAGTCCGTGCAAGGGGACACACACACACAGAGAGAGAAGGACGAGTGTGTGTGCGGGCGGTGCACGGCTCTCTCTCCCTCACTCTCACGCGGCCACCACCGCGGCAGCAGCCGCACATGCAAAAACAAAAAGAAGCAAAAGAGGGGAGGTGGTGTGAGAGACCGCGGTGCTGCCGTCACTGCCTTCAGACTTCAGTGTTTCATTTCTTTCGGCGGTGGCCGTATTCACTGTTTCTGGTGCGGTCTCAGTGGGTGCAGAAGCAAGGTTGGTATTATCAACTTTGTGGTCGTTTGTTTCTGTGGGGTTGGGCCGTGGATCATTGTCATTATTCTCAGCCCCCGTACCCTGGGCATCGTCACTGTCATTTATAGAGATGGATGATGATGTCGTTTCCGTATGTTTGCCGTTATCGGCAATCTCCACCAGATTTGATGTGTCGCTCTCTTGTTCTTGTTGCTCTGCCTCAGCATCCCCTGGATGCCGTTTCAGTGCTTCGGACAGCGCTTTGGTTTGTGACGCTGTGTTTTCTTTATTTTTTTCTCTTGACAACTGGGAGAGATTTCGTGCCGCTGAGCCCTTTCCTGTTTCTGGAACAGTCACTGCTGGTGATGCTTTTGGCTGTAGTACTGCCGAGATTGGTAGTGGCGGTGTCTTTATCGTAGGGGTCGTATTCGTTGCGTTATGTGCCTTTTCCGCAACCTCTCCATTAGGTACTGGCACTGCCGGATCATGCTTTGTTGTTGTTTTTACCACCAATTCTTCGGAATTACCCGTTGAACCTGGGGAATCGGCGTCACCAACACCTGGTCCAGGCAGACCAGACGTAATTGCTCCATCCTGTGTGTTGGACAACCCGCCTAATCCCCCTCCCGCAACGGCCGAAACTGGCTTATGTGACGCACCGGCACTATCCGGTTTCTTGATTGTGTCAGGAGTTAAACCTGAAGAACTGTCACCCGTACTTTGAACATGTGATTGTGTGAGCGGTTCATTGGGGACACCTGTTTCTGCAACAACCGCTTTCGTGCAGAAAAACGGGCAGCAGCACAGGGCAAGCACCAACAGGGCGCAAAGCAGACGGCACGTCGTCATCATCGTGAGTGTGGTCGTTCAGTGGTGTGGAGCTGATCTGCACAGTGAGGGACATGGAGAGCAACAGGGGAGACGAGAGGTGCGGCAGACACACACAGAGGGCACACCACATGAGGAGAGGGCAGCAGCCAGGCATGCACCGTACGCCACACACCACGCACGACACACACTCCAATCCACGGCAGCAGGCACACACACACACACACACAGCCCTGCCGTAACACCAACACACAGATGGAGAAGGGAGAAGCAAACAGGAGCGGCACACAAGGCTCCACCGCATGCACACACGGCGAGAGCGGTCCGTCGTGTCGGCACCCCTCACGGAGGGTGCGCACACACACAAGAGGAGGCGCAGCGCACACAGCAACACAAAAGCAAAGTAACAATACAAAAAGAAGATCCCCGCACACCACGTGGATTGTTGGTCCACGGGAATTGCAGCCAATATTCACCACAAAGCAGCTTGTTATCTTGTTTTGGTTGTATGCTGCTACAATAGCGAATGAGTAGCGCAAGGGCTGCCCGTACAAAAGTGGCAAGCATTCCGTCCGAAACGTGCCGTCGTGCGGGCTGGGGCACTCCCAAACAGTCCCATTCCCAATTACCAACGACGGGGGCATTTCTGCAGTGGATGAAGCGGAGTCTTTCGTGGTCCATCCCCGGTGCCCGCGGTTGTGCTTCCTGCGTGTCTTGCCTGCTGGCATGCTTGGCAACTTCGGTGGCGACCTGCGCGCGAGGCGCCTGTTAATAAGACGCTGGCACCGTTGCGGCATCCACATGTGAGGCCCTCGCAAACTATTATAACGCCAGGCGGAGCACGTCGGGCATGTGCCCTCATATTGTGGACGGACGAGCGCACTCTGCGGCAGGTTGGGCAGGAGGACATCAATCCGCCGCTCGCTGGTCGGCAAGGATTTGCGGCGCTCACGTCGGGAAGAGGTCCCGGCGGAGGCAGAGGCGGGCGGTTCTCCTCAGTAAGAAAGGGACGGCGCCACCGACACAGAGGGTTCCTTGTGATACGAAGGGCACGCGCAGGCATGTCGAAGAGTGGGCAGGAATCGCACCGTGCCTGTGCGCAGAGCCGCCGCTCGTGGCACGATGTCCAGGCTGTGCCAGGAATAGAGTACTCGCCACGCCGACGGGCGCCTGTCACGCGGTGTGCGCGCCTTCCTTTTCCTCCTGGGCATCCTTCCATTATAACCTCTTCACTGCGGTGAGGCAGTCCACGTGCCAGGCATTGACGCAGTCCTGCGAGAGGAATCGTGCAATCGTGGCTTGTTTGTCAGCGGCCTCACTGCGTGGAATACCGCAGTGCGATGGAGAGAACATGAAGCCTACAGAGGGACCTCGCTGTATCAAGGAGAGCAGCATAATCCAACTCTCTTCAGTAACGTAGTCCCGCATGGCCAGTGGAACGACGCGGAGTGCCTCAGTTCTCGACGGGAAGTCCGTTTCCTCCAGCATTCGTGTGGGCGATTGGGATGTTCCCAGACAAGGAGGTATGAGATGTCTAATGCCATTTTCAGTGGCAAGGCAGTCTGCTCTATATGAGCATGCGAGACTGCCAGCTGCTGCACGATGGACCTCCACAGGGAGATCATTTGTCGTGGTGGAGCCGTACAATAGCGCAGCGGATCCAGATGCGAGTGCAGCGAGATATGAAGGACCGTCCGTCCACAATTAAAATCACAATCCCCCAAAGAGGAGTGAGTAGAATAAAAAGCCGTGCGCTTGACGTCGTCAGAGGCGTCTTGGGCAAAGCGTGGCTGATAAATTCCACTTTATTGCAGCTCACAGTGTCCCAGGGGAAAATACGATGTTGGGCAAGAGGCGCGCGAATGTCGTTGTGGGGTGTCCCAATAATGTCACAGACGCGTAGCAATCCATTAATAACAGCATCTCTCGGAAGCGGGATTGATGTCGCTGCATTCCCATGCATGGACGAAGGCATAGGTTGCGAGTAGATAAGGGAACGCAAATCCTCGTGATCATGGAGGCGTATATAGCGTTCGTATTGTGTGAGTGCACGACGCCAGAGTACCTTCCGGAGCGGAAGAATATTGGCCTCCAAATAGACAGATTTGTCTTCCGTAGAGGCGCTCAGGCCAAGAATGTTTTGCTACCGTCGCGGTACCGTACTTCAATATTGTGGAGGTGAGTGGGGGCGAGTCACGAGACAATTGCCTCGCCATTATGAAATAGCACACTATGAACGCATCCAATCAAAAAGGATCGCATGGTGTGATGGGACGTGCCTATCTCCGCGAACAGCCGCAGCTGATAGCGGCGTGGCATGGTCCTCTTTGCAGCGGTGGAAGCGTGCGTACGAAAATTGAGGGGTTGTTCAACCGTGGTGTCCAGCAAGCGCACTGGGCATGACTGAATACGTAGGTTCCAGCTAACAAGATGGAGATCGACCATGTCCTCTTCAGACCGTGTGTGTGTGAAGAGATGTAGAATAGAGCAGCTTCGCTCTTAGCGACGTTGATTTTTAGGCTGTGCTCGGCAGCCCATGTGGCCAAAAAAGACAAGAGCGGTTGCATTGCCGCAGCACAGGCATGGATGTCCGCACCTGAGGCAACAAGTGTGTGTTCGTCAGCGTAAATGAATGCGGAGGCAGAATAGATGCTGTCCATGCGGCGCAGCAGGTCATCCACACAGTAAAGGAAGAGTTGGGGTCCCGGGACGCCGCCTTGCGGTGCTCCAGCTGAGGCGAGTTGTTTCCGGGAGTGCTGTTCGCGAGTGCATACCCCAACATAGCGGCCCCGCAGGTAGTTGTGCAGCCAGCGTTTGGTTCGAGGCCAAGGCGCGGAAGTCTGTCAAGCATGCCGAATAATTTCCCATGGTCAGTGGTGTCGAACACAGTCGAAATGTCAATCAAGACTACGAACGAGCGATGGCGACGAAAGTGCCTTGCGGGGACGTCGCCTCCAGGGCGCTCATACTCCACAGTGCCAAACTCATTCAATCCACGGGTAATTTTATCGATGGCAAGTGCCACCACGTCCGACGTAGAACGCGGAGGTGCAAATCCGAAATTGACGTGGGTGGTGCGGCAATAACGCTGACAGACGGCGGTGAATCATTCCTTCGGCTAACTTTGGTAAAACAGAGAGCAGCGTGATAGGTCTGTAACTCTCTGGGCAGCATGGATCCTTCCCAGGCTTGGGGATAGAAATAGCGTCTCCCATTTTCCAGGAGCCAGGAAGGCTGCCGTTTGCGAAGGGGTTGTGGATCATCGTTCTAAGAGTGCCACGCGCAACGGGCCCGAGACGGTGCAGGAATTCACTCAACATGTTTTCGGGGCCAGGGGCTGAGCCAAGCAAAGAGTCACGGATGGCCACGTCAATTTTATGCGGCGTGAGAGGCCGATCCATTTCCCAGCCACCAGGAACCAAAGGAGTGCAGCGAGCAGCAGCAGCAGTACAAGGCGGTATGGCACGTGAAACCGCACAAAATGACAGAGGAGCAGATTTGCCTGTTGCCGAGGCAGGGCGCATACGCGGCCACGTTCAGTGCGGAGCACAACCGATTCCAGAGGATGAGGGTGCGGCGCCGCCATGCCGCGAGGATATCGCCAGCTTGGGCTGGGTGAGGCTCCAAGTTTTTCCACACGAGCTTCAAAAAGTGTAATGAAACTACGGCGTAAGGCTTGATTCCGTTCCTCCCTTTTTTCGGGTACATTCGGCTCAAAGTAGGCTGTCTCCAGGTGAGGCAGTGTGTGTGCTTCGTGTGCTGCTTCATCAGCGGACTCGGCTTGCACCATTTCGTGTGTCCATATTCGTTTTGGGGCTGTCACGGCTGCCGCGCGGGATGTGGCGCTCAGCTGCTCGTAAGATGCCTCCGCGAGAATCCAACCATGTGGACGCGGTGGCAAGGAGGGTTTCACACAACGATGTAAAAGCAGGCCAATCCGCTTTACGCAGGGCAAAAGTGGCTTTCTTCCGCCGAGGAAGTGTGTTGGCTAGTCGTGGAGTGCCATCGTCCATCTCTACCAAGTAAGATATTCAGCAGTGGTCCGAGTCCATTTAAGGGGCGAATGTCCAGTGGGAGATGCGTAGGGCGCGATACGCAGTCACGCCAGGGGACGAGGCATTACGATGTGTGATCCGTGTTGTCTGCGCCGTGTCATTTGCCGACTCAAAATCCATATCGATTAGAACAGCGGCGAAATTATCGCCTCCAGTCGTTGGTGGTATATATGACTGTCCCAGAGTCCATGATGCAAATTCAGGCCACACACGATAATCGCTTCGGGCCCAAGCGACAAACGATATTGATAAATGCGGATTATTGACCAATTGTTGTGGGAGGGTTGTAGAGATTCACCACGCAAATGCTGGGACAGCCCGGTGGAAATACACGGACAGCAATGGTCTCCAGGAGGTCTGTGCCAGGGAGCGACAGGCGCTCGCACGGTAGAGAGTGGCGCACCAGAACGGCAGCGCCACCACCGCGCCCAGTGAGGCCCGAAGGTAGTCATTATGGCCACATAATTTCGTCGCCACGCCACCACGGTCATTTATTTCCTGGAAAAACGATATCAGGTGGATGCAGCTCCAATCGTACAGCAAATGCAATCTTTTTTACGGACGAGAGGCCTGCAATGTCAAGCCGCCAAATATTGATGCAGCCATCCTCCTCGGTGCCAGGGTTCTTTTGGACGTCACCGCCACAGGTGACATCAACGGAGTGACCGCTGCGAAACGGTCGTGCAGTTTTGTCCGACAGCCTGCGGGCAGACCGCTTCACCTCCCCGCACCGGGCATGGCGTGGAACCTTCTCGAGGGGTGGAGTCGTCTTGGTCTCCGTCGTGCTCGCCGCAACGCCCTGCTGCGGAGTTCTTATATGCAGCCCGAGCCCCAGCACCGCGACAAGGTGCGACTTCATCGCTGGGGCTTACCGAATGTTGTCAAGGACCTCATTTTAAGTTTTTTTTGCTTGTTTTCTTTCCTTATTGCTGCTTGTCATTTATTGGAATAATAATTATCTTTGTGCTT